TATGGAATCAAATTGCATATGCAGGAATAAAAGTGTCATTTAGTTTTCATTTCCTATCCAAAACATTCTTATTCATTACGTACTTAACTCTGTGATGAAAGTAAATTCACCATAACTTTCACTTAATTAAATGAAATGTTTAAATAGATTTTTTAATAATTATAACAAGTTCAAATAGTTATTTTTAATCTAATGAAAGTAGCTAGACAATACAAATAAAGCTAAATCTTAGATATAAAATAAAATTATATTAATCTCTAGTATAATTTTAAAAACAAATTAACTGTTGATTCTATTTCATTTAAGTGTATGAATATTCATTAGTTAATATTCATGTATTGAATATGATACTCTTTCAAGTAAATTAACAAATTCAAGTTTTGTAATCTTTGTTTTAAACTTATTATTAAATTTTGTTTGTTATATTTATTAGCATATTCTGATTGATAAAAACATTTAGAAATTAAAGGATAAATTGTTAAGATTACATTAAAATTTAAATCTAGTCTAGTTTTTTGATGTAAATAATAATTTACTTTAATTTAACTTCATATATAAAAGGTTATACTACAGAAAATACTATAAAATTGCACCATTAGGCAATTTTTATGGTAAGAAAATTTTTTTAAAAGTTTTAATGAAACATTGGTATAAATTTTCTTTCATGTGGCTAAACTTCTGCAGGAGAATCAAAAACATTACAGAATGAAATTGGTTTTAATCAATCTAAATTGATTGAGTGAATACATTCATTTGATAAATATATATAATACATTTGACATTTTTAATGATATAGTGTTGTTTCATATTACACTTTGAAAAATATAGTTTAAATTAATATAAACTCTAAAACTAATGAGTATAAAATATGTTAAATTAATATAATTCATTTACATAATGTATTGTTTATATAAAAATATTTCAATATCACGATAAAACTTGCAGAAAAATCAAATTAGCCACGTGTATGACCTGCGTTAATGTTTTCATTAGTAAGTCTAATTTAAAATATCAATAAGTTCATTTTTCTTCATTTATTAACTATAGATTTGCGGAGGAAAAAAATGCGGATCGAAATGAACCAATATTTCACCCGAAAATAATTTAAATATGAAAATTATAAAACTTGACAAGCTACAAACTCTAAAATGATCAAGATTTTATGCGCCTATAAGGATAAGAACAATATGAAATATTGCTAATACGTGCGTACTGTATCTGGATTCGGGTTTGAGTTTTATCCTCGAAAATGTACGAATGACCCGGTATGTTCGGACCCCGTCCTGTATCATCATTGCAATGGTCATAAGTCTTCATAATATTCATAAAGCGGAGAGTTGTGTTTTATAATAATGAATAAAAACGATATTGTGTGCCGAACAGAATGCAGACTTTTTCAAATATGAATTTAAATATTGCGTGTAATATATATACCCGACATTTCTACTAACAATTCGAATTGGAAGTAGAAATTTAAATTCCAAATAAAATCATTTGAGATGTAAAAAAATTGCTCCAAGTAAAAACTTGTGACAATTAAGAATGGTCGCCTCATTGTTGGCCTGGCCTAACCCATAATGGAATTGCCCGAAAAGGCCATTTTAGTGCCCATAGGGCCGAGAGTACAAAAAAAGACCTTTACCGGTGTTAGGTGCTTCCCCTAGTTTCCGAACCCACGCTTCGCCACTGTCACCGACCAACGTTTTCATTAAGCCGTTTAGAAAAATCGCTGTAAAAAGTTGTAATTCGCATAAATTTGAGCTTTTATCATTCTGGATAACATTCTGAATGAAAGTCATTTGTTTCCATGCAATTTTAATTAACCTTATAAGCATAAAATTAAGCGGTAAAACTGAAATAGCTCTATGCGAAACTCCCGTGAACTTTGACCTATCGACCCGGAAATTATGCCATCACCTCACCGATAACAAGAAAGGCTTAAGTTTAAAATTTAAGCCTTCTAGACCCAGTAGTTTTCCTCTACCACCGGCTGAAGAAAGGGAAGAAAATATAGCGTTTTTGGCTATTTTTGCACTTTTCATTGCTTATATTTTGGCAATCGCTTCATAGAAAATCTTGAAATTTTGCAATTTGAAATTTTACGGCGCAAAACATTTTATTTATTGATGAATAAAGAACATTCAAAATGCCCGATACTTTTTTTAAACTCTGTCCTGTAGGCACTAATTAATATTAAATTTTATTAACATATTGTTAGAAAAATTCTCATGAAATTTACATAATTCGTCACAAATATTTAAACAGCTCCTTCTACGTTAATCGTCACGGCGCGATCTTATTCGAGGCTATAGGAACCGCCGCCATCTTGGATACCCAAGGTAAATATAACCGTTTTTAAATTAAACTATATTTCTACTAAAATTAATGGGCCTACTACAATTTCATTAAAATTCGTTAATTTCCAATATTAACCTAATAGGCTACATTCATTCATTTCAAATTCTAAATTCTTAATTCGCAAATATTCTTTATTTACAGAATAATTATAATTTGTTATTATTGTAAAGTTATATCTATTAAATCCTAAGTTGTTAGCCTAATAGATATTTCACATTGTTAAGAATATTAATTTACATTTCTCTTATTATACTTTTTCAATATTAATGTATGTAAGAAGTATATAAGCAATTTTAAAAAATTGTTTTAATGGATAGTCTGAAATAAAAACAATTTTGAAACAACCAACCGACTGAATCCTACTTATCCTACTGATAAAAACAAACAGGAGAGAGCAATCAAGCAAATTACTCTACATTAATTGACATAAGTAATCTTAGTTTACAATCGAAATTTCCTATCAAAAATTGTTTCTTTCACGAGGGGCAATTTTTCCCCGTTGGGAAACAATTCACTACACAGTCGGACAGTATCCGATCACGTGCTTTAAAAACAATGGTTAATTAAACAAGTTATTTAGATCATAGATCTTGATTTGTTCTCTCGATGGACAATCGATAGCGGTTTTAGTTTTTAAACGTATTTCTTTTAACAAAAACGTTTGGATTATTTAATAATTTTATAACTTAACTAATTAATTTGATTTATCTCTTTATTTTCCATTGAATTGCTAATAATAAGATTTTAAAAATTGCTTGAAGACTGTACAAATTTTTATGCATAACGCGGTAAAAGTGGAATAATTATTTATACTTTATCATTTTAGCGTTAAAAGTTTGAGAAATTTCAAGAATTTAGTTGAAAGAATGAATTTTATCGATTTGAATGTGCATTTTAATGTTAAAATCATTCCAATTAGCCCATTATTAGTACTCCTCCACACACACACACAATTTATAATTAGGTTACTATTATAACTTTTTAAGATGGAATATTTAATGAAAAGTTTAAATATTTCTATACATTTCCATCAAAATTTATTTATAAATAATTGAAAATTGTTGTGAATTGTTTGTATATTTATCATTTATGTTTAAGTAGATAAGATCAAGATTTTTTTTATTCCTTTGTTTGTACCATCGATTAAAGATATCTAAATGCACATTGAGTTGCACTGGAAGTATGAGATTTTTTTTCCANCAAATGAAAGATGATATTAAGGTAATTTATTTAATTTTTATTATTTTATAAGTAAGTATATATATAAGCGAAACACTTTTCTTACTCAATTAAAAATACTGTAACACATTAAAGCAGGGATTTCTGACATTTTTCCTTGCATTCATCTCCATAAAGAAAATATTCTTTTCAATGGATCCCTTTAAAATTTTTATGTTACTTCCAAAGTTTTGTGTAATATATCAAATGAATTTCCCACTTAACTTAAAATGTACAATAATTATCTTATTTTTCTATCGATCCCCAATTGACTCAAGTTCCACAAATTATAATGCTTTAACACAGTAATTCTCAACAGAAGTCATTGTGTGAAGTTATAATATAATAATTATAATTTGTGTATTGAATAAGAAGGATCTAATTGTGAAGTTTGTAAGAAATAAATACATACCTATATAGAAGCACATTTATATAGTATATCTAATATGTAGGCTATATGCTTGTATGTATTGTGTATGAGAGAAAAGCAACATATCTTTTATATTATAGTCTATCAACAAAATTTCGAAATGGGGAGGGTCAAAATCAAAAATTAAGACAAAGAAATCTTTATTTATAATATTTTTTATGTATTATAATAAAATTTAAAGGCAAATCTATAAAACAAATGTATAGAATTTTTTTAAAATGTGCTCAGAGTCTGAGGAACAATACATCTATTATATAAATAGATCATGTTTATTCATACTTTATACTTAATAAAGCTAATTTTAATGAATAAAAGAGTTTATATTCCGTAACATTTTTTACAATACACCAACAGAAGCAGCAGCTGTCATTTTCTCTGACCCAAGCAGAGGACGGTGACCTTGCTACGATAACGCTTTATTTAAGGCTAGATGTTCGGACCTCCTAATGTCTTCGCAACTCTGTTATCATCGATGCGAGACTCGTGACCCAGAGGTGCCTGAAAGACTGTCCTACTCGACTATCTACTACTATTCAATACTGTTACTTGTTGTACAATCAACTTAGTTGCTGTAAGAATACGTACAGTTAATCGCGTTTTTCTATTATAAATACGTAAATTTAATGTTTATACTGTAATAGTCCCTTAATTTTTCATAGATATTTTCACTTTCTAAGAGTTGCAAGGATGAAACGTGTTTAAGTAAGGGTCTCGCTCGAAAGATGTATGAATTAAATTTTATGAGCTATTGTTTGATAACCAGATTAGCGGGTTAGAAAAAAAAAATCAGTTGTTCGATGAGTGAAGTGCAAGGACATCGATTTACTTGGAAAATAATTATTCGAACAAATTTGATAATTAATTCTTTTAAATACAATAAAGAAATAATCGGTTTACAACCGGATTGAGATAAATTGTCAAATTGCGTAAACCGACTCATCCATTCCCACGGGGCGTATTTCCTTGTGGCTGTCATTCAACATTGGTGGGGTGGAGCAGAGATGTGTAAAGCCAGCTGCCAATGGTGGAGAGCATCAGCGCGGGAAAGCACTGCTGACGTCGCCATTATCATATTAATGAGAAGCGGAATGTCTGCAGTCTCGATAGTAGAGGCGGAGAGGAAGGTCGCCTATCGAACTGAAAGCAAGGACATGAATCAGACAAAAGTGGAAACGAATGCCTGTCAGGAAATATTCCGTCAAGCGGTGCAGAAAGGTGATATCACCGAATTACAAAGGATACTACAGTGTTGGGGTAATACCCTGAACGTCAATTATTACAATCAAGAAGGTCAAACGGCGCTACATCAAAGCTGCATGGTAGGTAATCTGGAATTAGTCAAATTGTTGGTGAAATTCGGTGCGGATGCAAGACTGGCCAACAGGGACGGATGGAGTCCACTTCACATAGCGGCTTACGGTGGACATCGAGATATCGCATTGTACTTAGTATCGAACACCAGAAGTTAACCGGTTGTGATTTCTATCGTTTAGGATGTTTAGTGCCATTTTGGATTGTACTACTACCCGAATTGACATGATTCTATATGATTTGTACGTGGAAGGGCTAGTCACCTTCCCCTCTCGGATTCTACCACCCCTTGGTGTTGCTGATGGAGAAGGTCCAGTGCCACCGGAGGCCAGCTGCTACTTGTTAGATTCGACACTTCACGAACCCCAAGGGAGGTTTTTCTACCTCTCCTAGAACCACTCAAAAACTAGTCCTTGTTTAATTAAACAACTCGCTTCAGATGTGGTAGTTGTTGCTACTGGACATTGTGAGATCCATAAAACCTGATGAGAATGAAAAAGTTTTTTTTATTATTATTTTTTTTTGTTTGGGAATGTTTGCCAGTATATAAACGAGCATTAATATTCTCCATAATTTTTTATAAATCGGATAGGCTAATATTCACTGCCACGTTTTTTATATCGTGTAAAAATGTTGGTGTTACCTCATTTTAAATGTAGTACACATCCTTGTTATTCCTGGAACATTTTTTTTAATACTTTGACATCCTTTCCTCACTTGTTCAAAAAGTAGGAGTTTTTTTTTAAAAAAAAGAATTTCCTGTTAGAGTCTCCACATCAACTCAGACTAGAACAAAAGTCTTCTTAGCATTTTTTTTTTCCTCTTTACTTCATTTTCAGTATTGTTTGTAATCCAATTGTCTTATTTCTTAATATTGGTTGAAAGATGTGAAAATGTTAGACTAATGTACCAGAAAGTATTAAGTGATATTGGCCTTTTTGCCATGAATTGTAAATCTGCTTTCTTGAAACTGCAGTTTTTTTTTTCTAATTGTTATTAAAAAACTTTTGTTGTTATTAAATCTGTGTTAATTTAATTAAATAGTAAATGTCATATAATTTTATTTTACAAATGAAAAAAATTTTTGAAATACAAAACTTTAATCAATCATAATTTATTTTAAAGTAAACTCACATTTATCTACCAAGTTTTGGTATTATAGAGCAAATCATCCCTATTCTAAAACAGCAATTGTTTTTTGTTTTTAAATATAAAGAATTGTTATAAAAAAAAAAGTTTGCAAGTTATTTATTTGTATTACTTAATATAGATTTTAAAAAATTAGAAACATCTTTTAATTCTTAAAACTTAAACAATGTATAAGTATTCACAATTGATTTGATAAGTTAATTTATAAAAAAAAAAGTTGTAAAACTTAATGAATTAGACAATTACTAATAGGAATAGATTTAGATATAATTGTATAGACTATAAAACTTATGTAACAGAGTATTGTCGGTAATTACAAGAATACAAATATAAATTTATATTAAAATGCATGCTGTGATAACAATAGAAAGGAAATAATCATGCCAGCAATACAAATTACATCTGGCTATAAAGTAAGTTTTTTGTACATAAGATAAATGATTATTATGTACTGTAATTTTTTAAATAATGAGATTATCTCTCACTCAAAATATATATATATTTAGTATTAATTAACTTTGATACTAATTTGAAAAAATGAATTATACAGTGAATGGATTTTTTTATTATTTTTTCAGTAGATAAATTAAGAAATTTTTATTAAATATATGTCAAGGATATTATTTTGTTATCTACAATTTCAATTGGTTTTTACAACATTTTAACAAATTAATGAAATTTTTTAAAAAGTACTTGATAAAAAAAAAATTAAATTTTCTCAAGTACTTAATAATAATTATTTTTAGTGTATTTTTCAATTATTAAAATTAAATGCTATGAATGAATTTATATGGTCTAATATCGGTGAGATATTTTAAAGTTTTTATTTAATTATTTTAATATATTAATGGTATATCCAAATGAAAAAAGTTTCATTTTCAATTGAACAATACTTTTAAAATATTTATCAATTATAATTCATAATTTGATTCTGTATGAATGTCAGATATAATCATTTTTTGGATTTTGTTTAAATTTCTTTCAAACTTTGTTTATGAATAATTTTCAAATTTAGCTTACTATGAAAATAAATATAATTAATTTAGTCTTTCTGCCCTATAGACACTCAGATATTTTAATCGTGTTCGTGTGGATTTATGTGAAGGTGGCAGCTGGGTATTGTATGACGGAACCATATATCCAGTCTACCTACTCATGAAAATATCTCAGCTGATCTGGACACAAAACCAAGTCTCCTAGAATGAAAGGCTCCTGCCTTTCCTGCTTCAGCAATCAAGTTAAAAGGGATTTATTATATTTATATATAAAAAAATAAAAGTATGAAAGAAATTTAAAGATAATCTACAAAAATGACTGTAACTGAAACATTACTAAAGTATGAATTATAGTATAGTAAATTGAAAAGTATTTGAAATGCTAAAAGAATTGCCAATTAAAAATTTGAATATACTTTTAAAAGTTGAACTTATAATTAACATAATAAAAATTCTTGAAATCTTTAATGATTTAAAATTATAGCATTATAAATGAAGATAAATATAGTAAAATATTACCTTAAAATTTAACTGTTTTCTTTCATATAAATATATCAAAATAGCTAATATATACCTGTTATTTATTGTCAAATAGAAACTCATTAAACATATTTTTAATGGAAATTCTTCCATTTAATCACAGATATTACAAACTCAGGTTACTTGAATGAATTTGAACCATTAAATTTCAATAGTAAATGTTTTTATATTAATAAATACAAAAAAAGCAAAACAAAATGTACTAACTATTGAATGTTGTTATATAATATTGAAAACATTTCATAATTGGATCAAAGTTAAAATTTATTCAACAATAAGATTTATCTTATCTTGAATTTTAAAATAAGATATATTTAAATCCTATAAATCATTATTTTAATACTATAATGTTGTAGTATTTTAATGAACACATTTTAACATTATAGGATATTTTTTATTACTAAATTTTTAAGAGTTATTTTCATATCAAAGAAATGATTACTATAATTAAAAACTAAAGTTTGGATGATTTAACGATGTACTGTACATACAAATATAAACTGTACAGAATAATATATAGTAATTAAGCATATTTGTATTATATTAAAGACTATTATTTTTTAAATACAATAGATTAATTATCAGTTCATTATCATATTTTATTACAAATCTTAATATCAGATCAGCTGAAAATTTTAGAAAAACAAAAATTATTATTAATAGAAACTTTTATTTTTGTTTACAAAGTTTTAAATTACTATATTTGATAAATATATAAATATACATAGTGTCATTTTTATTCTGCGTTGAACAGAAGTTGTTACAGTATTTAAATTTATCATATCTAATGTCATTGGCATGAAATACCAACAGCTCGAATTAATGAATGTAGATTATTAATTCATTTTAAATGAATAATTTGCAATCATTAATTTGGAATGTCAACATTACATAAGATTAGCATCACATTTCTTTGAAAGCTTAAAATATACCTACTGTTTTTAGATGAATAAATTAATAAAGAATTCTTTTTTAACTATTGTGTTTCTATAAATTATACTAATTATGGAATCAAATTGCATATGCAGGAATAAAAGTGTCATTTAGTTTTCATTTCCTATCCAAAACATTCTTATTCATTACGTACTTAACTCTGTGATGAAAGTAAATTCACCATAACTTTCACTTAATTAAATGAAATGTTTAAATAGATTTTTTAATAATTATAACAAGTTCAAATAGTTATTTTTAATCTAATGAAAGTAGCTAGACAATACAAATAAAGCTAAATCTTAGATATAAAATAAAATTATATTAATCTCTAGTATAATTTTAAAAACAAATTAACTGTTGATTCTATTTCATTTAAGTGTATGAATATTCATTAGTTAATATTCATGTATTGAATATGATACTCTTTCAAGTAAATTAACAAATTCAAGTTTTGTAATCTTTGTTTTAAACTTATTATTAAATTTTGTTTGTTATATTTATTAGCATATTCTGATTGATAAAAACATTTAGAAATTAAAGGATAAATTGTTAAGATTACATTAAAATTTAAATCTAGTCTAGTTTTTTGATGTAAATAATAATTTACTTTAATTTAACTTCATATATAAAAGGTTATACTACAGAAAATACTATAAAATTGCACCATTAGGCAATTTTTATGGTAAGAAAATTTTTTAAAAAGTTTTAATGAAACATTGGTATAAATTTTCTTTCATGTGGCTAAACTTCTGCAGGAGAATCAAAAACATTACAGAATGAAATTGGTTTTAATCAATCTAAATTGATTGAGTGAATACATTCATTTGATAAATATATATAATACATTTGACATTTTTAATGATATAGTGTTGTTTCATATTACACTTTGAAAAATATAGTTTAAATTAATATAAACTCTAAAACTAATGAGTATAAAATATGTTAAATTAATATAATTCACTTACATAATGTATTGTTTATATAAAAATATTTCAATATCACGATAAAACTTGCAGAAAAATCAAATTAGCCACGTGTATGACCTACGTTAATGTTTTCATTAGTAAGTCTAATCATATTTAAAATATCAATATAAGTTCATTTTTCTTCATTAATTAATTATAGATTTGCGGAGGAAAAAAATGCGGATCGAAATGAACCAATATTTCACCCGAAAATAATTTAAATATGAAAATTATAAAACTTGACAAGCTACAAACTCTAAAATGATCAAGATTTTATGCGCCTATAAGGATAAGAACAATATGAAATATTGCTAATACGTGCGTACTGTATCTGGATTCGGGTTTGAGTTTTATCCTCGAAAATGTACGAATGACCCGGTATGTTCGGACCCCGTCCTGTATCATCATTGCAATGGTCATAAGTCTTCATAATATTCATAAAGCGGAGAGTTGTGTTTTATAATAATGAATAAAAACGATATTGTGTGCCGAACAGAATGCAGACTTTTTCAAATATGAATTTAAATATTGCGTGTAATATATATACCCGACATTTCTACTAACAATTCGAATTGGAAGTAGAAATTTAAATTCCAAATAAAATCATTTGAGATGTAAAAAAATTGCTCCAAGTAAAAACTTGTGACAATTAAGAATGGTCGCCTCATTGTTGGCCTGGCCTAACCCATAATGGAATTGCCCGAAAAGGCCATTTTAGTGCCCATAGGGCCGAGAGTACAAAAAAAGACCTTTACCGGTGTTAGGTGCTTCCCCTAGTTTCCGAACCCACGCTTCGCCACTGTCACCGACCAACGTTTTCATTAAGCCGTTTAGAAAAATCGCTGTAAAAAGTTGTAATTCGCATAAATTTGAGCTTTTATCATTCTGGATAACATTCTGAATGAAAGTCATTTGTTTCCATGCAATTTTAATTAACCTTATAAGCATAAAATTAAGCGGTAAAACTGAAATAGCTCTATGCGAAACTCCCGTGAACTTTGACCTATCGACCCGGAAATTATGCCATCACCTCACCGATAACAAGAAAGGCTTAAGTTTAAAATTTAAGCCTTCTAGACCCAGTAGTTTTCCTCTACCACCGGCTGAAGAAAGGGAAGAAAATATAGCGTTTTTGGCTATTTTTGCACTTTTCATTGCTTATATTTTGGCAATCGCTTCATAGAAAATCTTGAAATTTTGCAATTTGAAATTTTACGGCGCAAAACATTTTATTTATTGATGAATAAAGAACATTCAAAATGCCCGATACTTTTTTTAAACTCTGTCCTGTAGGCACTAATTAATATTAAATTTTATTAACATATTGTTAGAAAAATTCTCATGAAATTTACATAATTCGTCACAAATATTTAAACAGCTCCTTCTACGTTAATCGTCACGGCGCGATCTTATTCGAGGCTATAGGAACCGCCGCCATC